AGCCATGGGACTTGGCCTAGTGTAGAGGCAAGCCGGCTAGAGTCGCATTAGAGTTTAAATGCACGTACGGGCGACGTGCATTGTCGAGTCAAGTGAGAATTCCGCTGTAAGTGAAGCTCGGTCGAGGAAGAAAGAACCTCGCCTAAGGTCCGACGAAGCCACAAAGGGGCGTGAAAAGTGGATTGGAGCTAGAGTTCCTCGTAAGGCTGGCCATGGTCCAACTTAGATCATGGCGCTGCACGGTTGAAAAACGTACGACCGTGACACCGAGCATACATGAAAGGATGCAAAAGCGCACTGTATGGATGCACCAAGCTTGGCTAGAGGCACTAACAGACGGTCCGCAAGGCACCTGTAAGATGTTTGGAGCATACCGTAGATGCTAGTGGCTACTCTGCCCTAGTAGGAAAAGGCCAGAGAATGTCAGGAGGGATCACCACGGTCTCAAGAGACGGTCTGTCCCGCTCTATTCCTCCCTTCCTTTTCTGCCTATAAAAGGAAAGGGGAAGCCCTAACCAAGGTAAACTACTATTTATGCAACGAAATCTGGTAAGGTCAAACTCGCTCAACGTATGACAAAGAGAATAGCTTGAGCGCCTTGGCGAGGAAAGACCTACACAATAGAGGTAACACTTGAACGCCCAAGTGAATTTAAGCTTGAACTTAATAGAGAGTTCGAGATATAATGTGATACCTGATGCAGAAGTGAGGCCCTCTATTTGTAGGTTGGAGATCCGATAGGCGGTTATTTTTGTCGCTTCGAAGGTTGGACATGTTAGATGCGTAATATCGAACCCATACCACAATCACGCTACTTTGTGGTGTCCCTGCAGCATTTTACAGCTAAGTATGGCAGGTTGAACCTATCCGAGACAGTTCTCAAGCAAGACTTGGACCTGTCGGCTTTCCTCTGTCCTCCACGTGGCAAGGTCGGACATGTTAGATGCGTAATATCGAACCCAGACCACAATCACGCTACTTTGTGGTGTCCCTGCATCATTTTACAACTAAGTATGGCAGGTTGAACCTATCCGAGACAGTTCTCAAGCAAGACTTGGACCTGTCGGCTTTCCTCTGTCCTCCACGTGGCAAGGTCATTTTCTGCTCCCAACATTGGCCCCTTCTCTTGCTGGCCGAAGGTCTGACTTGGCAGAGAAAATTTTTCTAGGTTGAGAAATTTACGTAGGTGGCGACTTCATAACTTTCGAGTTGATAAAATATAGCCATTAGGAAGCTGAGTGGTGGTATGACAGCTGTCGGAGCACTTGAGTGTCTCTAACCTTTAGTATGCCATCAAATCTTGATCATTATTTTTCGGGACACGTGTAATATTGGGATGAATTTCGCTTCACTATAAATAGTCCCAAGATCTATCTTCGCCTTCTACGCTTTCTTATTTTTGAGATCTTTGAGTCCAACTTGCTAATCTCAGAGCTTCCTTCTAGGTCAGTATTCTACTTTTCGAAATTTTCTTGCTTTCTTTCGCTTGCTTAGTCATGTCTTGCTCTAACATCCATCTTTTAGTGCTAGGAGTGGCTCGAAGGATATCAATTCGTATTACAACTACGTGAATAGCAGATTGGTTAGTAGCTCGATTAGCAGGTTCTCTGACGAGTCAATTCGAACCTTCAACACCTCCTCCCTTAGTGGTTTTACCTCAAGTGAGGACGTAGTAAATGGATTAAATGAGGAGCTTGAGAAGGTGGAGGTCCCTCAATATAGTTATACGTTGTCAGGGGTTGACTCTAATAGTAGTGAGATTTTGACTTATGGACAAAGGCATGTGTGCCTTTTGAAGATGCTTGAAATATACTTACGACCACTTCGAAGGCCGTATAATATCTCTGACTCCATATGTCTTCA